TCTTCTTCTTCTTCTTCTTCTTCTTCTTCTTCTCAATTACTTCCTTGGACACGGATGTTCGCATGTATTATCAATTGCTTTCGTCAGAAAATTAGGCCCATCTTACATTTCACTCCGACACCATCAGATTTTCAAATGGCAACCTTGCCAAAAAACTATGACACTAACGGAGGCCTTGTCTACCTACCTCACCTGGAATTCCGATACGTCAAAAAAAACGAGCCCCACTGAAAGACTGAAAAAAGTAGAGCAGTGCCGTGAAACTTACTGACTTTACTCTCTATTTCTTCAGCCGTGGTAGCAAGTGGTGCAGATTTCCAAGATACGCGAACTAGTAGGGGTTGGCTAACTCCTACACAGTAAATTAAGTAGACCTCTGCAAGTTAAGATCTAGTTGCAATTATTTTACTTCAGCACCTACATTCAAACATGGTTGTGATGGTGATGATGAGGATGATCCTTACCCATGTGGCCTCGATTTCGCCATCGGCGTTCACAGTAATTACGGGGATATCTGACTCAACAACAACACCGCCGCAGCTTTTATCCAACCACGTGCTGCCCGGTCTTTTAAGGCCGCCTCTGCGCTGGGTCGGACAGCGGGGCGGGGGTATTATTATGGCATTTGTTGGGTGTATCATACCGACTCCGGAAGCTCCCAAGTCGTTGGCTTGCCACCATTGCCACACGGTCAGACATGAAGATGTGACAGTGAATGGTTGAGTGAGATTCGACGTGGCATCATGTCTCCTGAATTTTGGCTTGTGTTTAGGCCTCGGCATTCCAGATTATCTTCCGGTTCCTTTTAAATAGATTCGGCGCAAGCTGCGGTACATTGAACAATCAACTTTTTGTGGTGGTTTTACCTGCCAATTGCCACATTATCGACTGCTTGCTCATTATCTCCCGCCTTTCTATCTTCAAATGACATAAAAATAACGGCTCGATGGTCCCTGAGCTTTTGCTAACGAAAAAAGGCGTTTGCAAAATATTGGAGTCAAGGCGATTTGGATATAGCTCGGTGAAGTTACACAGGCACATATCAGATTGAGACACCTGGCCAAGACACTTTAACATAGTCATCAAATCTCTTTCAGTGCATTGTGCTTCAAAGGCTTGAAAAGGTGCGCCTGCTCCATTATATTTTGTGGCTAGCGCGGTTTTTGCAATTCTGGGTCCAATTTCCATTAAATTTTTTTTTCGACGCACTTTCACCTGCAATTTAAATGTGGATCTGATTATTCCTGTCTAGGACATGCTGATCTGTGGTCCTCTAGGGCGAAACCAACGAAGGCCTTCAATTATTGGCTACGCAGATGAGGACTTTAATCGGAAATGTTCAGTGTCTTTAGGGGCAGTTTTGTGTACATGAGAAGTGTACCGTAGGCCCCTTTCTTTAGAGGAAAACATGGAAAATTAGATATTAGACCGACCTCCAGTCATGATTTTCTATCGAACTGTCGGCAGTCCGACTCGTTCGTGTTATAAATGCCTACGAACACTTGTGCATCTCTTCTTTTTCTACTTTTCTGCCTAAGCGCCTCTCCCGCATCTT